TACATTCATTGAGCTTGACTTTGTCACAGTTTTATGATTGCCGACTTGACCCAGGTTGTGGTGCATCATTCAACTTCGGACATACTTTTAAAGCAGGTCTAGTAATCGCCTCCAGTTTCTTGTTACAACTCGCTTTCCGGGATATTCATTCTGTCCGATACGGAATTGACTTAGCCATATTCCTTTCACGTTTCTTGATGATTACCGGACTCATTTAGTTTTTTTACAAAATTTAACTACTGCATTACTGATCGCAACTCGTGTGTTGCGAAAAAATGATGCCCATCTAAGGAGAGATCCGTCATATTTAGACAAGGCTAAATAGTTCGGAGGCTTCGACGTATGCGGGAACTACGTCTTAACTACCTATCTGGACCCCCAGCTAAGCTGATTATCAGCTTGGGTCGTATATTACCTTAATTCGGTTCACAGGAGTTTGAAATGTTTAGGTGTATGGGAAAGCAAGGTTATGAAAGGGACTGATTATCTCTAACATTCCGAGAATTTATAATTACCGAACATAAATTTTCAAAAATTTTAGAAAACTAAAATCACCAAATTAAGTATTTTTTGGATTTATCATATTTTTATTTCATTATAAATGAGTGACAGCTAATGACATCCAGATAATATTATTATTATGGTAAATCTTGATCACAATAACGATGATAGTGATAAAAATATTACATATTTTACACATTCATAAATACTTATAGCTATACTAGATTAATTTACATCAGTAACATCCTTTTCTTGTATCACTTGGTTATGTTTTAATATTATAAGATTTTTTGTTACTGTTTTTATTTTACCTTTTTACCTTTTTTCAAAATTATTTATATTAGATCCACCTGAGTTTTTATATAATATTTATTTTACCACTTAAATTTAAGATAATGTAAACAGTATACATAAATTTCTGTATTATACAATTTTATACATACATATATATTAAAGCATATAATATATTTACAAAAGTTTTTCAAACAAATTTAGCACCTGATGATGCATTTTAACAAAATCATTTACTGTATACACACATTCTCACCTAGACACTTTGTTATACTCTGCCCCAACGTGAAGGGTATATTAACTTTGGTACGGAGTTCGTAACCACTTCAATGAGTCGTCTATTTTATGAGTTGTCTTTTAGGTTGAGCAGTAATATATATATTCCTGCTCAATGTAAAATTCTGCATTGATTTACACATATCCGTTCGTCCGTCCCTTCGCCCGTCCGATCGCACAATAACTCAAAACCGAATAAAACAAACACCACCGAGACTTCACAAATTGTTTCTTTTCTGCTAAGAACGAATCCTATTGTAATTGGATCAATTTGGCCAACATGTTTGGATAGCCGCTATACAACCTTAATAGCCGCTAACATTAAATTTGGAAAAAATAATAAAGTTCGGTATTTGTGTCAAATAATTACAGCGTAGATATATGCATGAAATCTTTGTGTAAATGTTTTTCGTATTTTTTACTCGAGTAAAATATTAAAAATTACTTTAAAAGATATCATTTAGTTACACAAAAAGAAGTGAATTAGGGATTCACGTCATGGAAAACGTGAAAGGGCCAAAAAAATCAGCCAAAATATATAGAGTAAAATTCAAAATACAAGAGGAAAATTTAGAACTAAAAGTAAAATTAACGAGGTCAGAGTTACTTTACACATATTTCATAATACATGTATATGTATAAAATGTCCTCGACAATCCGAAATGATGCGGATTGAATTATTAATTGAAAAAACTAGATGTATATAATATGTATATAGAATTAAATTTATATATAATATATACAAGCAAAACATATACCCCATACTATATCTCCGTATATATTTAAAATTGCAATTTTGATATTCTCAAAATTGCAATTTGCAATCATTGACAAAAACAGGTATCCATTTCCATTCAAATATAGAGAGCAAAAAACCACAAAAAACGATAAAGAGACAGAGAGATAGAGAGTGAGAATAAAAATTTTAATTAAATATTTATATTTGAAATGCAGGCAGCTTAATGAAGGTTTTACTCTTTTTTTTCTTTAAAAAAACATTTTAATTGAATACTTTTTTTTTTGAAGAAAATAAATCAGAAATAAAAAACAAAACTAAAATCATTTCAATTCGTTATCCTTAATTTGTTTTTCATATATATATATATATATATATATACATCATGTATATGTTTAAATTTTAAATTTATTATTCGAATTAGGTTATATACACATAGAAATTCTACATAGACAGGTAATATATATGTAACGTATGCTTGTCGTAAATTTTAAAATATATTTCAATTTTCTATATGTAAGTATATTTAATAAAATCGTATCAGAAAAGTAAAACAAAAATTTTATTTGCAATTTATTTGAAATTTTTGTTAAAATGTAAGCGAATAATATAATTGTCAATATTAAAAAAATAAAATATTAAAATAATTGAGTTACATATTATCATTTTCTATTCGACCTTAATTCAAAATGCAAGGATATTTATGTAAATTGATAATTAAATAAAGAACAATTTAATTTAATTATGAAAATTTATGATAGTAGAAAAAAATACAGTAAATGACATGATTTTAAATATTTACTAATTAATTTATTTCCATTGCTTGTTCTTACTGTTATGTACTGTTATCATAAATGCAATTTTCTTACAGTTATTAGAAAAAAAGCAATAAAATATTGAACTCTTTATCACCGATATCAAAATTTGTTTGTTTGAAAAAAAATCATAATTAACACTCTCACTACCAGGTCAGGTCAAAAAAAGGCCTGACACTGAAGTAAAAACTTACTGTGAAAAACGACCTTAAAGAAAAAATTATTAAATTGTTTCCCGCTACCATAAGCTTTTTTTGTAGTTGGTGATATCGTACGATAAAAAAAAATTTATATGTACCATTTTAACAAGGATTGCAAAAATCAGAAAAGTTCCACTCCAGCGTTAAAATTTTTCTTGATTTAGCTATAATAACCGTCAGTCTCTCAAAATAATAAAAATATATTCCAAGAATGATTAATCCAGCAGTTTTTCTTAAAACAGCTCAATTGACGCAAAAATATTGTGGCACTGAGAGTGTTAAAGTAAATTAATTGAGAAATAAGTAAAAATCGGGTGTAATCTATAAGCAAAATTGAGAAAAATTGAGCGAAATTGAGCGAAATTAAGCGAAATTAGTAAAATAAATTTAAATATCGAAACTCTTTTTGTCATTTATTTTTTCCATTAATTACTTTGTTTACCCCGTAAATATTCGTTATACGTAGTAAAATAAATTTTTACATTTTGAGAGCAATTCATTATATAATTGCATATTTTTAGAATAAGTACATTTGAATAACAAAAATACATTTATAGCATACTATTATAGCAATTTAACAGAATAATTTTCATATCATAAATTCTTCTTATATCAGAATACAGCTTTTTAAATCTTAATAATAATATTAGGACCAATAATTTTAAATTTACTTTATTACATCTTAAAACATTACTTTTCTTATTACTACGTAGATCATGAACATTGAAATTACAATCATATTATATTCGTATCTAATTTGGAAAAATGAAAAATTTCAATTTAATTTAATTATTCAAAACATAATATGTATAACAGATATATGATACATATATCTGTTATACATATAACACTTTCATCTTTTATCTTTTTACCTCATTCCATATTCAATTTTTAACCTTATATCATTTCACTTTTTGACATACTTTCTTTTATTTACACGTTTTCATTATTTATTATTTTTTCATGTACATGCTTTTAAAATTTTTAGACAAATTTTTTTTTTAAATTGACATCTCGTATTTTTACCGAGAGCATTGCATACAGTACGGGAGGTTATGTGATGGCACCAAAATTCAGATGTTGGTGAGAGCGCACCTTACCATTGTAGGGAAGCGTTAATAAACTATTTTTAGAGAGATGTATATCTGTCGGTCTGCTATTCTGTTGATATGTGTGCACGCGTATACCTCAAGTTCGGCTGAATTGATTTTGATGAATTTTTATATGGTAGTTTTTTTCACTGTGTTACGGATTGTTCAACATTTGGGATATATCAGGCCCCGGGAACTGGACCTATCTGGACCTGTCCAATTTTACATTTTTTCGCATATCTAGAAAAATAATCAACCAATTTTATTGAAATTTAATATTTAAATTCTGGGTTTTGAAGAAATGAATCTACAAATGAAAAGATCAGGGCTCGGAAATCAAACTGGGGGTCAAAAATTAACTAACGAATTTTATCGGGTAATTCGGATTGCACAAAAGCGACACTTTACTAAGAGCCAAATTTACATTTTTTTAGGTATGTTAACTAAGCGCTTACTAACGTCCTGATAATAGCAAACAAGTACTTAAAAAACTTTCGCTAAACTACATGATATAAAATGCGGTCGGTTATGTGCTGAACACATCAGATTTTGTTACAATATATAGCTACAGTTCATGTTATTGTATAAAGTCAAATATAATAGAAAGTAAGAAAAAAGTTAAGTTTATGAAAAGTGCCATGTTGACTTAATACATTATTAATTTAATTTTTCATAAGTAATTAATATTTTATGTATCTATATCCATGTGTGCTATGATTAATATCAATATTTGCTTACACGAGTTTAAAATTAAATTACTTTACAAATAGAAAAGTTGCAAACGGCAAAATATTTTTAATACAAAGCATAATGAAATCAAAATATGAATTAAAAATTATTTGATATACAGACGTTTGTCAAATTTCAGTATTTCATTGCAACTAAAATTCTCCGTATCTTATAAGATTTTGACGCAATAATTTGAAATTATTTAATTGTTTATTGATTTTTTTTGAGAAATTCAGCTCAAACAGCTCTTGTTTAAATTAATTACTTAATATATTTATAATTTATTAAAATTTTTACATATAAATTTTAAGTATCATTATTATTGAATCGATAACTGACCCCAACATACCCTTTGTTTCAGAAGAAGACTGGCAAAATGACAAAAGTGGAAGAAATCAATCAAACGATCAAGGTAAGTCTTTTTCAAAATAAATATTATTATATGTGTATTTATGCCCCTTTTATTTACATAATAAAAACATACAGTATTGGCGGCGTTTTTTTAGCAATTTGTTGGATTTACTAACAATATAATTGACATTGAAAATTAAATAAATAAACCTACAATAAATGTCAAACATTCGATATTTGTATAAATAATCATATTTCCAACAATAAATTTTTATTTAAATTTTATTATCTAATCTACAATTTTACTTCTAGCGTCATTACAAAATATTAATTAAATAATTATTATATGCCACCAGAGAAAAAAATGAAACCAAATCAGACCAATTTCTGTATATTAAATTATAAGTACTGTAAAACAATTTCTTTTTTTGTTTTTCAAAAATTCCCTTAGATTTCATTACAAGAAACCCATGTTTTAATTAAAAAACTTAATAGATTTCTTAAGAAAATTATTTTTAAAAATATTGTAAATAAATAAAAAAAAGAAAATTTGAAAAAACTTACAAGTTCTTGTACAATATATACAACAGCTTTTATAAGCAATATATTGTATAGTATAACAGAATATTATAAAAACTTTTTAATTAATTTCTAAGATCTTATATAGCGATCTCTTATATTCTTAATATTTTCATCCTGTTTTTCGAATCATAGAACATCCTGACTTTTTTTTTCCTCCATTTTTCTAATAAAATTTTCTTCTCTTACTTTCCCATAAAGAATATATTAGTATAGTACTAAAAAAATTTTTAATATAAAAAACCTCTTTAAATTTTTTTTTTATAGTAAAAAATAGTAAAACTTGAGAATTTAAGTATCCTTGAAAAATGCATGAAAAGTTTATTACCAGCTATGTATATATGTATACGATAACTAATAATGTTTGATTAAAATTACGTTTATATTTAATGAAATAAAAATTTTTTATTCATTTTGAAAATTTTGGTATATATAGTAATAATATAATATTGTATGTATATTTAAGTATGGTCCTTGAAAATGAAAATTCAAACCTTTTAATTCGGTTGAATAAAAATCCTGTGGTTTATTTACCAGAAAATTGTTATTCCCATTTTTACTATTAAAAAAGCAAAAAAAAAAAAAATACATTTTCTTTTTCTTACTGTTTTATTGAATTTTTACTTCTTTTCCTATATAAATAACCCTAAAATACCTATATATTTATTGTTGTGTTATATAAGAGAGAGGAGCTATATTGATTTACGAAATTTTTCCGTATAATATTAGTCAAAAATTGAATCAATTTAATATGGAGAATTTTCTATTATTTTCTATATAAGTTTTACATAAAATGTAGATTCTTTTAATATTAATTTCGATTGAGAATTAAAGTAAAGATTATTGACAACTATAATTTTAATTTATCCTGGCTTATATTCAAATTATCTTGGGTATGAGGAATCCTATACTAAAGTATTGTACGAATAGCAATTTATTTCTTAATTTTTATAATATTTTCTTTTATAAAAGACGTAGTATTTGGTATCACATTCTAATTAAGAATCAAAAGTGATCATATTTAACTGTTACACTCTAATCTTACGCAATGATTTTGTACATTCATAATAAAAAAAATTTCCATTTTACTATGAAATTATTATAAATCTAAGACTCGAATATAATACCTTTTTTTTTACTTCTTACAATTAAATTCAAAAATAAAAAAAAATTCAAATTTAATTTTAAAAATTTTGGAAAAATTTTAATTTTTAAGAAAATTCAAATCTCTTATTTCAAAGCTAAAATAAATAAAAATTTTTTTCTTAACAAACTCACACACAAACCCTTCAAAAATCTTATTAAAAAAATTTTCCAATGTTTTGTTTTATTTGAGGCATTCTTTTTTTTATTTTTTGTTTTTCTTTTGTGTAAATTTGCATATTAGAGTTGACCAAGCAATACAAAATCATATTCTCAGTTTTTTTTTTTCTGTTTCTTCTTTGATTTCCCTTGAAACAAAAATTAAAATTTATGAAAACGAAAAATTGAACCAAAAAAAGAAAAAAAGGATTCAAAGTCAAAATAACACCAACCATTCAACAAAATGTTTATAGGTACATTGTATAGTGTTGGTGTACAATAGTACAACAATATTGAAAAGAACATAAAATCAAGGATATAAATGTCATTTGAATAAATATCCTGTTCGGGGTTTTAACACAGAAAACAAAAATGGCAAACAAAAAAAAAAAGGGAAAAACTAAATATACATTAAATAAATGTCCAAAAAAAAAATAAAATTTTTTTTTTATTTCTTTTACTTCAGTTCCTTTCCATTTTGTGGTATTTCAGGATCTTGTTATAAAAAGGAATAAAAATTATTCCTTTACTTTAATTCCAGTGAATTTATTTATTTTTCTTATTGTTGTTGCTATATACTCTTGCTAGTTTTTATTATTATTTTTTTTTTCTTGAAATCTCTTGAAAATTGTAACAGCACATCGGGTGGCACAATATAATAATTTTGATATTACGCATTAATGAATGTGCATAATATGAATTGAGTAAAGAAAGCTACTAACTCAATATTTTATATACTCTCAGAAGAGACTTAAAAACTGTTACCGTAAAATTATTGAATTTCCGCTTTTCTGTATTTATAATGTAATTTAAGCATAACTTTAATTATAGAAAATCATATTAAAACTAGTGAGACAATAGGCAATCATATTATATTATGAAACTTCCATATCCCAAATTTTTATCCACAAACATGAGCAAAAATAAAACTTAATTTACTCTCATTTAGAAAGGAACAAAATATCTGCTATAATATATTAAAATTTTTATATTTACTCAATTTGTTGAAAAAAAAAGTTAAAAATTTTTAAGAGAATATGAGAATAATAAAATTATTACCCGTTTGTTAAAATTTTTCTCTCTCGTTTTAAAATTAAGATTAAGAGAAAAATTAAGATTTTTTGCTTTTTCTTTTGACTTTACTTAGAAATTTTAATTTTTAATTGTAACTGGGAAATAATTTGATGTATGGCCGTTCTCTATTAAAAATTTTTAACTGAATCGAACTGTACTAAATTGGTACTGTAAACAACTTATTTTAATAAAGATTAGTTTCCTAATTCGCTCAATATTAAAAATCGAATGAAGTTATGCGTTCCACATAGTATCTCTCTCTCTCTATTTCAATAATGAAAAATTTGGTTTATCAAGATATATTTTGGTTCATAGTTCGTGTTACTATTTAACTCACTATTATGATATTGTGAACTTTCTACAAAAAATCATTTTTTATATATTCATGCAGATTTAAAAAAACGTTATACTCCTTGTTGGACATTTACCAGGATATAAAATAAAAATAAAAAAAAATATATAAGTGTGAAGACAATATTGGAATAAAAGAGGAAAAAATAATAAAAAAAAAATTTTTTTTGTTAGCATTTTCGATTTTGTGCCGGATTTTAATATTATATTATTGTATGCCTTCATGACCATTTCCGGAATATTTAACAAAAAAAAAAAAAGCAAAACAAAACGAACAAAATAAGACCAAAAATAAAACAAATGGAAAATAAACGTCTACACTTAAAATCTGTTTTGAAATTATTATTGACTTTTTGCTTTTATTTTCCAATTTTTTTGCTTTTGTAATCCTAGAAATGGTTAAATGAAGGAAACAGTACGTAGAATTATAATTTGCTCCTTTTTCCCTGCTTTTTCTTTATTTTTCTTTGTGTTTTTTTTTGGTGTATTAAAGTAGAAAGTCACAAATTGGAAACTCATGTATGCACACAAAAAAACCCGGGTCTGATTTGTTTGGCGCCATACGTAGTTTACAAAACGTGCGCCCTTTCTCTTGCTCATCCTCTTTCAAAACAATAAACATTGTAGATTGTGCATAATAAATCACTTTCTTGATACTTTATCATGCTGAGAGCAAGATTGGTCATAGAATCAAAGGTAGCTATCGAAGATAGGTACATGCTAACAAGTTAATTTCGCTGTAAATAGAAAGGAAAAAATTTTTGGAAAAAAATTTTTATTTTCTAAAATTAAATCTTTTTTTATATTTTTAATGGCGCCCCTGATTTCTCTTGCCCTTTACAAATGCTTACTTTGCATATATAGTAGATCCAGCCCTGTACACAAATAATGAACAATATTTCGTATTTTTTATTCAACAAGAATTGGAACTTTTAAAGACCAGCTGTGTCCAAAAAAAAAACAGCCCATAAAATAAGATTTTATTATATGTATTTGTTTTATTGTTACTCCTTAATATTTATTGCGATTTAAAGTGTATAAATAGTTTTCAATTTTATCGTGAAGTTTTACTATTTTTCGCTAATGTTTTGGTTTTGCTTTTGCCACACAATTTTTTTTTTTTTGTAATTCTAATGACTTCTTTTTATGCCCATTTGAAGGGTATACTAAATTTTCCAATATGTTTGTAACGCTAAGAAATAATGGTCTCAGATATAAACTCAAGTATATGTTTTTGATCAGTATCGAATTCCAAGTCCTTTTATCCATGTCTGCCTATTTGTTTCAACGATAACTCAAAAACTAATTGGGCTAAGTTTAGCAAATTTTCACAAATCATTTCTTATATTACGAGTAAATGCCAGAAACCTATTTAAATTGGATATGATCAAGGTACCAGCTCAGGAAGCTGCCATACAACTTCAAAATTTATATGACTATATCTTAGACATTATAGAAGCTATGGAACTTCGCATAAGCGAATATATTCTGAGACCTATTGTGTTCGATAAAAGTCGTTGAAATTGCTTGGCTCCTTTTGGTAGCTGCCATACAATTTGAAAAGTTATTTAGAAATTTTTAAATTTATTCAATAACATAATTTTATTCTTATCAAAAATTATAGAAAAAATAGAAAAAAATAATTTATTTTTTAAAATTTAAATAAAAAAAAAAAAAAAACAAATTTCTTAAGAGAATTGAATTGAAATCTCATAGCACATTTGTTCTATATTTATAAATTCTAAATGCTATGGG